TGAACATATCCAAAACATTTGCTCCTTCCGTTTTCGTCCTCGGCGACTTTGCAAGACAGTATTTTGCCATATTTGCTAAACATGTTCTCTAATTGAGCACTGTTGATAGAAAGAGCAAGGTTCTTCACAAAAACATTACCAATCCCAGATTTTCTTACTATTGATTCCTTATGCTCCTTGTGCCACCACATAATCCTCATTGGCTTTCCTCTCAGGGTTGTATGGTTTAAGCATGCCAGAGCCTTCATAGCTGATCATAAAAATATATATATATATATAAATAATTATTTGTGAATTATAATCATTCAACCAATTTATAAAAATATATGATAACTTCATATTGAACGTTTTTTTTTTTTTATTTTACATGCCCCCGCATATAAAATAATAGGACCGAACTTAAGATTAAGCGCAAATATATATAAACAGTAGAAAAGTGGTACAGTTTATTACCATGAGAGACATAGCAGAAGTTGACAAAAGCAAAGCAAAGAGATTTCCCAGACACAGCATCTCTGCGAATCCCCAAGGAATCCAACGAGCCAATCACCGAAAATGCGGCCTCAAGGTCCGCTGTAGTGGTTTCCCGATGAAGATCACCCACGTAGAGAGTATGCCCCCACAAAGTTTCTGACATCCCTAATAGCCAAAGTGGTGGCACCTCTGGGAGCTCCGGCATCGTATTGGTTAGGAATTAACTAACAAAAGAGTTTTTAATTAAGAGAGTGAAGTGAGAGAGAACTTTTGCTTCTTAGAGAAAGAGAGCCAAGTGATTAATTTTAGGAGTTTGAAAGATTATTTATAAATGTTTGTAGAGATATTCTTGATGGATTAGAAATATCTAATACTAATTTGTTTGGGAATAAGTATTCCCATGGCAAAGAGGAATAGCACATTTCGTATCATTTTCTTCCCTTTATCTTTTTTAACCTTTAGTATTTAATCTTTCGGATTTTGAATGGACCAATTATCATACTCATTCTTTACGTAATACTGTTAGTTTTACCTTTTAATTGTTAATTTTAATTTCTAGGCTCGTATCAGAACTGCATCCAATCCCCAATGTTAGATTGGCACGCGAGGGCTCTTAATTTTAATTTCTATCATCTCTTCATCGATTTAAGGAAGCTCGTATCAGATCTGCATCCAATCCCCCATGTTAGATTGGCACGTGAGGATCTCGTTACTAAAAGGCATCCAGTATACAGGTTGTCAACATTCATTCTTTGCTAAAATCGGTTTAATGTTCCCCATTAGGCAATAACATAAAAATTTTTATGCAGTATTGTTTACATCTTGGCATCTGTATTTTGTTTTTTTTTTTTTTTGGATATTTTCAGGATTTTTATCGTGCAACACAGTGTTGACATCTGTATCTGATCTGCATTTTACGTCTTTTGTTTGAGAATGCAAACCGAGGCTAAAACAACGCGTAGGGTGAGAACTATAAAAATACAAATATTACTTAAAACTCCAATTCCACAATGCCAAACACTGAAATACCAACAATATAATGCACACTCAACTACTTACACAACACAAACCTTTGCTATTCAGGATTCACCTATTCCTTCTTACATCAGCTTTACTTCTAACGATTACCATACCTGTCTTGGACCCGAAATTATCAACAACCTTTCTGCTGACATATTTACAGTCTATATACTGGTTTACACAACAAGAGAAAGAATAAATAAAGAATTACACGCAGTAGAATACCGTCACTTGTCACCTTCTCTGATCCTTACTGTGTGGTCTAGGCAACTCATGTGTATTGGTTAGATGTACTGTGCTCGCGGTTGAATCCATACTGCAAAACAAAATTGGGAACAAACCGAAGTGAGTTAAGAAACCAATGGAGAATGCCCTGCTTACGATACTTAGAAACTTCGCTGCCAAACTATCGAAAGAACATGAATGGTAAAGGCAAAAGCATAAATATTGTTGAGAATATGTTTCTTTCCAGTCCTTTTTTGGACCATGTACTCTAAATTGAGTGTGTTGATAGACATCTCACAACCATAAGTCCATAACACAACCATTTTTGAGGAAAAGGTATCAACTATGGGTGATAATGTTGACATGGCTCCTTGCCTCCTCCTAAGCCCCAACCTAACCACATCCAAGGCACTAGTATTTCGTAGAACATTGCAAAGCAAGAAGAAGAAATATGAGTCGTTCTCTTAAAGGAACATGAATTAGTGATGTGCAATTTAATCTCTAATATTTTTTACCCATCTTCATATATCATTCAAGATGGATTAAACAAGAGGCAGATCAACAAACAAGCCCAACGCAAGTGGCCAGGACAAGTTCAAGACTTCAACTCCACTCTTTCAATTTAGACAACCACACTAGCCTGAGTGGTAGAAAGAAGTGTCAATGAGATGCTGATGTTTTACACTATGTAGGAAGGAGGATCAATACCTTAAACCTCATCCTTGAACTCCATACGTCAGAATGCCATGCACTGCCATCGCCCTTTGCCACCCCAGGTGTTTGGCTTACACAGGGATCAAGCAATGGCTCCCAGGTTCTTTCTCTAGCATCATTACCTCCCTCAATATCATTGTCAACTTGCTGGTTGACCAATGCTCTGAGGATTATTGCAAGAAACAATGTTGAAGCCTGGAAAAATGTATAAATAATACAAGAGTAGCATGTATCATATCACAGATCATACATTGAACAAAGAGCATATAGGACTATAGGAGGTATGCAGCAATGATATACAATACTGATATGCAAACACTATATAAATAAAGAAACAAATAACATAACCAACAGAGAGAGCATAGCTCAGAAAGAGCTGAAAATATTGGTAGCCAATGTAGACCGTTACATGCCTGAACTATGATGACCACAATGCCAATCCACTTACAAACATCCACATTATCTTCAATGAAGTTGCGTAAGCTATCAAGTTCTCCAGTTGGATCAGGTGGCAGATCCTAGAATTGTATGGTAAGAAGTATATAAGCAAGGATATACAAAACTTCAACAAGCAAGTATGAAAAGACATTTCTATAAAGATTTGTAGCAAGTATGAATAAACAAATACCGCTTCCCAGTGGTGATCAAGTGCAATGAAGGCCACCAAACTTGCTTCCAACAGAACAAACACTGTCATAAGTAGAGAATACTGCCAGTTTCATTAGGTCAAGGATAGCAAGACTAAAAGAAGGGCACTAATAATCATCCAGTGAAGTCCTTTTTTTGTTCTGAATGTTGAAAAAGATGCAACAGATATAACTAAAGAAGAAACAAATAAAAGAGAAAAGGAATAACTACTGAAAACGGGGAAAACTTTTCAAAATTCTTTACACAGTTTGACTTCTCTTTTGTAATTTTTCATGTATTTTAGATTAAAGGAATAAGTTCACCTTAGCTCTAATACTTAGTATGATATAAGCAAGAAGTATCTGTTTCCTTTTCTTTTCCTTGTTTCTTATTTTTATTTGTACCAAAATCAAATGGACATAAATAAAAACATATTCCCAGATGACCATGTGCCAGTAATTCTTCTGATAGACAAAACCAATATGCTATAACCTATAAAACTAATCTCTTCACTTGAATAGACACGTATCAAAAAAAACGTTAGCACAACCAAAAAAATCCCTGATTTTCATATATAATCAAACTTTCAACTTTTATTTGGAAATGCAAAGAAAGAACACCACATCTACGACTAAAGTACTAGTGATGAATTCTCATGTAAGTTTTAATTTGAAGAACGACTAGAAAGAGTGTTCCAGAGATCGATAATTCAATTAGTCCTATTTGCAGTGAGACAAGCTACTGCTATTGGAAAGGAAGAGCAGAGCAGCGTGGTGTCACAACTACTATAGTGGAAAGTTTGTAAGGCAAAGGCTACTTCTATAGTTATGATTATCAAAGGATACACAGCAAAGACAACAGCCATTGATTGCTTCAGCCCCAACATGGCCGATGAATGAGATACAGCACAACAGCGCACCAAATCCCATAAATGCATATATGAACCTGTCAAGGTAAACACAAACAGAAATAAACAAATAAATGCTGAAGCACAGAAGCAGGGCATCATACCACAATATCTTGACTTAAAAAAAATCTCCATCCCTCATTAATATCACTCTGGAATTCATAAATAATTGAAACAGGGAACAAAAAATAATACCAAGGGGCGGGGAGCGAATGGGAGTTGATGTTGATCCCATCTCCGACACCAGAAAATGCAGAATTGATGGAAGCGATGCCATCGGAAACCCTAACCGAGTCGAAATTCGCCAATTGAGCTACCGCAAAATGCGCGGACGGGGAAGATGAAGGAAGAGGAGCAGCTGCGACGTGGTGCTGCCATTGCTCGAGCATGTAAGCTGAATATACGATGATGGATATGCCGACGAAAGCCTGTAGAAAATTCAGGAATTTCAAGACGAATGCCAGGAAGGCGTGGCAACATGGCGTTGCCATTGCGTTGAACAATTCTTCTTCTTCTTCTTCGTCTTCTCGGGATTGACTTATCTGAAAGGCGAAGTACGGTTATGGTGAAGCTAGGTTTCTGGGAAAGCCAGATTTTGTGTGCTCCTGTGGACGATGATGATTCGTCAATGGGCAATGATTGAATTGAATATTACTCCGTATTTGAATTTCAATATAATAATTAGTTGTGATTCTGTAGGCAACGACACATTTAAGAGTTGTCACCAGTGAGGCATGTTTAAGACTCAACTATATTAGTTTTTTTTTTTTTTTTTTGAGTAATTTTACATTGGATTCTCAATTTTTACTCTATTTTCAATATGGCATATCTGATTACTTTTTTTTTTTTAATTGTATTAATAAATCAAAGCAGTAATAGAGTCAGGAGGGATAGAATCCCAATACATAGAATGATCATGAATAAAAGTTAGAGAAGCTAGAGTATAAGCATGTAAATTTTTTTTTTTGAAATATGGCGTACCAGTATATTAATTCAGAAATTGAATGATAGAGTCAGGAGGGATTAAATCCCATTACATAGAATGTTCCTGATCATAGGCTAAACTAGCAAGAGTATGCGCATGTAAATTTAAAGTTCTCGGAACAAAACTAAGCGAACAGTGAACAAAACTACTAATAGCTATCCTGCACTGCTCAATCACAATTCCAACATAAGATAAGTTCAGTGTAGTAACTGCATGAACCGCATTCCTTAAGACAAGACAATCCGTAAGAATATCCACCTCGTTCTCGTTTCGGTCTTTAAGCCAAGACAAGGCTTCCTTGCATGCTAGTGCTTCTGCCATAAGAGGGGTTAAACACCCCGGGAGCTTTCCGTTTGCCGCTGCTTTGAACAAACCATTCGGATCAAGTAAGACCGCCCCATAGGTTGCCTTTCCAGTTCTCGGATCGTATCCGGCGTCGACGTGGCACGTCGGTCGCCCGGCTACCACTGCCTGCACCACGCCGGCCAGTGCCGCCACTGGACGAGAATGGAGTGCCGTGTAGCTCGCCTCCCTCGCCGCTGCACGGCGCCACACCACCTCCGGCCTCCGTACCGCATGTTCCCAGACCGCCTCGTTTCTGGCCATCTATAAAAAATAGAGGACCCCCACAACGCGTCTGACTTGTTCGCCTGTGAGCATATCCATAACAGTCATAAGCCAGTTCGGGAAAGACGTAGAAAAAACATTCATAATAGGCAATCCCGAAATATTCCATACGGCTCTAGAATAATCACATAAAACTAATGAGTGCATAACATTCTCATTTGTAAGACCACACAACATGCATGTTGGGTTCACATCTACCCTCTTTATAATCAAATTTGTTGTGGTTGGGAGTATATCACACACCGCTCTCCATATAAAAATTTTCCACTTGGGTGGGACTTTCAACTTCCACAACGTAATCCATCTATCAAACTCTCCCAAAGTGTGATTAAACTCCCCCATTAGACGCCTATAAGCATCCTTTACAGTGTAGCAACCATTCGGGTCATTATGCCAATACCATGTGTCTTTATAGTCTGGGCTCACAGGTATTTTCAAAATACGATCCACATCCTCAGGTTCAAATAGATCCGTTAAAATATGGGGATCCCATGTTTTTGTTTGCTGATCTATTAAACCTGCCACAACTGCATCCCTTAATGGTTCAGGCATCACTGTTTGAACAAGTGGACTAGGATTATCCTGCAACCACGGATGACCCCATATCAAAGTTTCCTGGCCATTTCCAATTCTCCTGCGGACGTGGGCAATAACAAAATCATGAGCAGCCATAATACTTCGCCAACAAAAACAGGGATTATTTCCCACCGTTGCATCAACAAAAGAAGTTTTAGGGTAATATCTTGCTTTATATATTCGTGCTGCCAGAGATCCCGGATTTGTTAAGAAACGCCATGCCTGTTTACCCAACATCGCAAGATTAAAATTCCTTAGATCTTTAAACTCCAATCCACCAAACTTTTTAGGGATACACAATTTATTCCATGCTTTCCAGTGGATTCCTCTGTTTGGCCCTTTCCCCCACCAATACCTATTCATGGCCCTTTGTATTGACTCGCAAACTGATTCAGGGAGCAAAAAAACACTCATTGAAAATGTGGGCATAGACTGAACCACACTTTTCAAGAGCACTTCTTTACCAGCCTGTGATAACAATTTCTTGTTCCACGAGAAAACTCTTTGTCTGATTTTATCTTCTACATAAGAGAAAACAACCATTTTATTTCTCCCTATAAAAGAGGGTAGCCCCAGATATTTTCCAAAGTTCCTCGCCCGTTCCACGCCCAGACAGTCCGCTACTTCCTTTCTCATTTGTTCCCCAGTATTCTTACTGTAGCATATATTAGACTTATGATAGTTTACCAACTGACCAGATAACTCCACATACCTTTCCAAACACTGCTTGACCACCATAGCTTCCTGGACATTTGCTTTAAAGAAAAACAAACTATCATCAGCAAAAAAGAGGTGTGATATTGGGGGGGCTCCCCTAGCCACTCTACAACCGTGAATAGATCCTACTGCCTGCTCCTTTTGTAAAAGCATGGATAAACCTTCAGCACAAATAATAAATAAGAAAGGTGAAAGTGGATCTCCCTGTCTGAGACCCCTTGTTGGTTGCACCTGGCCTCCACTCACGCCATTCACCATAACACTGTATGATACAGTGGTAACACATGTCATTATCAGCTTAATCCACCTTTCATCAAAACCCATTACCTCCAACATCCTTTTCAAGAATGGCCACTCCATTCTATCATAGGTTTTCGCCATATCCAGTTTAAGCGCTCCCCACCCAGCCATTCCACATTGTTTACGATTCAAAAAGTGGCCCACCTCCGCCGCCACAAGTATATTATCCGTTATAAGCCTACCTGGGATGAAGACACTCTGAGATTCTGAGATTAGATCCCCCAACATAGGTTTCAACCTGTTGGCAATCATTTTTGCCATAATCCTATACAAGACATTGCTCAGGGCAAAAAGCCTCAAATCCGCCACAGTTGTAGGATCATTCTTTTTCGGGATCAAAACAATATTGGTAGCATTCAAATCACTCGGAATTTCGCCTGAATTCAAACAATTAACAACAAAAGCAGACACATCCTCTCCAACTATATCCCAAAAACGCTGATAAAATCCCGGATTCATTCCATCCGGTCCCGGTGCCTTGTCAGGATACATGGCAAATATAGCAGTTTTGACCTCGGCCACATCATAGGGACACAACAATGCCTCATTCTGTTCAGTCGTCACACGGGGCCCAAACTCATCAAATAAAGGGTCCTCACACACAGGATTACTAGTAGCAAAAATTATACTGAAATAGTTGATTACTACATTATTCATATCCTGTCCCTCCACCCATACCCCATTCTCATTCAACAGCTTAGAAATAAAATTCTTTTTCTTTCTAGCAGAAGCATACCTGTGATAATACTTCGTATTCGCATCTGCGCCACGAAGCCAATCCTGCTTCGCTCTCTGCCTCCAAAAGACATCCTCCTGGGCTTCTAACTGGGAGATCTGATTATTCAACAGCTGGAGCTGAGCCAAAGATGCCGGATCCCTCCTACCACGGATCCGCCCCTGCTCCTTGCGGAGTCGCCGGATATGCTCTCCAAACTTATGAAAATGGTCATCGCCCCAGCGCATTAGTCTATCCCCACATCGTTGCTGACAATTCAACCACCCCTCTGTCCTCCCCCCTTGCCAGGCAGTTTCCACCACTTCTCTACACCCCTCATCCAGCAGCCATGCCATTTCAAACCTGAAACTCCTCGGAACCCTTCTTCCTCCCCTTCTTCGTGCATTCATATCAAGAAACAGAGCTGAATGATCCGAGTTACTAGTAATTATGTTCTCCACACCCGCCCCTCCATGCACATCACACCACTCCATCGTTGCCATCACCTTATCTAATCTCTCATCCAACCATTGATCCGTTCCACTATATTTCTCCCATGTGAACTGATATCCCCTCATAGGCAACTGATGCAATCCACACTCATCCACAGCTTCACTAAAACCCCGGAGAAAGTTATCTGGATGTGGATTGGTTCCCCTTTTCTCATGCTGGAATAAGAGATCATTAAAATCTCCTATTACAACCCACGGAAGCAGAGATTTCTCTATCAATGATTTCAGCAACTCCCATGATTCTCGCCTTTGACTACTCTTAGGGAAGCCATAGAAACACGTCATACGCCATGTCTCACCTGATGACATACGGACCTCAATATCCACATGGTTTTTCGAATAGCCTAGAAGTGTAGCTGTATTATTCTTCTTCCACAACAAAGCCAGTCCCCCACCATTCCTCACATTATCCACATAAAACAAACCTTCAAAACCTATCCTGACACGGAGCCTCTCCGCATGATCTCGTTTCACCATTGTTTCCATTAGAAATACAAAATCAGGCTTCTTACCGGACACAAGGTCCATAATCTCTCGAACTGTACGTGGATTGCCCAAGCCACGACAGTTCCAACTTATCGTACTCATGATGATGGGCGGGACTGGGCTCCAGTTCCCGCCGGTCGCAAGTTTTTTGACACATCGGTCATAGCCACATCCTCTCCTTCACCCCCAGCCCCTCGGCGGCGCTTGACACTTGCCACAACTCCCTCCACCCTCTCCCCAACCCCCATACTACCCTCCCTTAACTCCCCCTCTTCCCGCCCCCCTGCACCGCCGCCTTCCACACCCTCCCCCACCTCCTCCCTCACCCTAGGTTTCGGTTTCCCCCCAACCGGCACTAGCCAATTTTCCCCCACCGCCCTTGGCGCTCCCCTACTTCCTCCCGCCCGTAACCCTACAAACGGGTGTATCTCAACTGGTGTCGGCCTCTCACGTGCTTTCAGACAGAACATGTGAACATGACCCAACATCCCACAAAACGAACAGTGTTTGTGCAGACGTTCATACCGAAAAGTTATCCAACTTACCGACTTATCTCGTTTCACCAACTTCATGCCACGCCTCAACGGCTTCCCTACCACAATAGACACACGAATTCGGTATAACGTGAGCCATGGTGCCCCCGCGAACCTCTCATCATGCTTCACAAACTTGCCTATAAAGTTCCCAGCCTGCTCAAGTACTGTATCCGACGTATATCCCATCGGCAATCCATGCAACTGAACCCACATATCAATTGAATTCAGCTCCACCTCCCCCAGCACCGCTCCGGCCACCACCTCCCGACATACCAAGGTATTATTCTCGAAACCCCATGGACCCCCATCCAAGACGTAATCTATGTCCATCTTATGATAAAAGACAAACAAGAAAAGTCCCGGTTGAATCTCCGTAACCTGCACCCCCCTCACCGGTTGCCATACGGATGCCATAACCTGCTTCGTGAACTCCAATTTAACCAGCTTTGTAGTTAGGAACCTGCCGACAACAGCCCACGTCTCCTCGTCATCAACCTGGAGTTCACCGACTCCTTCCCCCTCCGGCACAAACTCATCATGTTCATCCTCCAAATCAAAACCCTCCCACCGTGCTGTCAACCTCTCGACGTCACTGTTTTCCTCCGCCATGCCTGCTACGTTCTGTCTGCCTCGCTCCACGTCAGAAAGCAGCCAGCGCTCCTCGTCATAGAAATCCGACGCCACACGCCATAGAGAAAACGACCGGAAAACGCAAGAAAACTAGGTTTCCCTAGAGAGAATGCTGAAACCCTAGTTTTACCCTAGAGAGAGAATTTTTTTATTGTTGGGAGGGGGAGGGGGGGGGGGGGGGGCAAAAGATATAAGCATGTAAATTAACCTGCCTAGAAATATAATTTAACGAGCAACGATTAAGTAATGACATAGAAGTCCTGCATTGGTCCACCACGACCCCAACATAGGACAAGATTGGCATATCTAATTACTTAATTTAATAGGGAGTAGTGATATTTATTCGTTATTTGTTTTTTTTTTTCCAATCAAATTTGAATACAAGTGAGAGTACAAATTGGGAGTATGTTTTTGAAAGTCCATGAAAATTTTATTTTTTTAGAGAGGTATTTCCACTTTTGATTTCAGGAGTATGTGACTATTTTCATATTTGGTCTTCAACTATTAAAATTTTAAAATTTGATTTCATGACTTATAAATTATTGTAACATTTGATCCATGACTATTAAAATTTTAAGATTTTGTTCTATAACTTTTTAATCATTGTCATATTTGGTCCCTATCTATTAAACTTTTTAAATTTAGTCCCACAACTTTTAAATCATTGTCACATTTGATCCATCCAACTTAAATTTTAGTTATAAATGATAAAATTTCAGACAAGTAAATTATCTTAAGGGTAAAATCGTTCTTTTTCTAATACATTTTTCTTGAACTTATTGTTTTCCTCCCAAATCACTTTCTTCATTCTTTTCCCTAATGGAACTAAATAAAGTTATAAACCATAGATTTTTATCAACTTTATAAGTTAATATGATGTGGAATTAATGATATTATGATTACAGAATAAAATATTAAATATAAACGTCAATAATGTTAAAAAATAAAAATTATTTAATTATAAGGGATATTAGGTGTTAATTTTGAGATTAGAGAATCACCCTAGCAAATCTGAAATTTTAATAATCGAAAACTAAATGTGGCAAAAATTTTATAAGTAGTGGGATCAAAATTGAAAATTTTTATAGTCGGAGACCAAATGTGGCACTAATTTAAAAGTCGTATGGTCAAATATAAAAATTTTAATAGTCGATGACAAAATGTAAAAATGATTTAAAAGTTGTAGGATTAAATTTAAATATTTTAATAGTCGGAGACCAAATGTGAAAATAGTCTCATACTCGTGGAATCAAAAGTAAAAATAACTCCAAAAATATTGTTTTAAAAAAAAACATAAACAAAACAAAACAACTCCAAATATCAATTCATAATAAAGTAAGCCAAACTAGTAAAACAACTTGAAAAATAAAATAATTTAAAAACCAATAAGAATTGGATATCAGATAATTTAGTAACTAACAGGAAAACAAAGCTCTAAGAACTAATATCAATTTGTTGTATTTTTTTTTTTATTTTTTCAACTCTTTTATTCTGTATGATAAAATAAAAATTAAAATATAATAATATTTACTTAATTTGATTTGTTTCTTTCAACTATATTTAAAAAAAAAAAAAAAAAAAAAAGTGAAAGGTATTATAGGAATGCATTGTCTTCTCGTTTTTTACTTAAATCAAACATTATTTATTGCGGTAGCTAACTACTATGTAGTATAATGACATATCAGTTACTTTTCAAATGGGTGTTCATAGGATTAAATCCTAGTAGTGCTTTTAACACAAATAAGTTAAGTTTTATTGACTTATCAATGCCGCATTAAAATACTTAATTTATTTTAATATAAAAATTGTTAGGACATCATTTTTATTATCGATTATAATTATGTACAACAATAGTCATCTTTACTACTATTTTTATTACAATTTGAAAAATACACATTTTGACTATATTAAAAATAATTATTTTTATTTTATATTTAAGTATTTAATATTTAAAAATTATATTAAGTATTTATTTATTTTAAATTTTATCTTTAGGCATAAATTTAATCGCGCAATACACATTATAGTAAATAAATAGATGCAATTACCTTTGTTGGTCTTCCTCTAGAGATTAAAGAAACCTTCATTTTCATTCTTCCAAAAGGCTGAACCCCAACCCTAAGAGTCCCCCACATCTCGGCCCGACAGAGCATTTAGGAGGATGTAAATCATGGTGACTCAACCGAACATGAACCACAGAGGCTAGACCGGTGCTCACTGCGCACAAGGAGCCCCTCACTTTGAAACCTTCATTTTCATGGATCTAGAGGGAATGGTTCTAGATGGAGACAAGTAGATCAATTTGTTTCCACAAAAGGAGGGTATGAAGGCAACCATCAATAGTTAAACTTAAAAATTTTTTCAAATCAATTATTTAATCAACTTAATTCTTTTCTCTCTCTATAACATGTGTTACCCAAATATTAGGGCTATAGAATTAAGCATATAACAAACACTTTAACAATAAAAAAAAAGTTTGCCATAAGTTATATATGATTCTCAAGCGCCTTGTGCTCAGATGACACTTCGGTAGCTCCCCTTGAAGAAAGGTCACAGGATCGAACCCCGCATGAAGACTAAAGATATGATTGGTGGGCTGATTGCGCAACTCGCGATTGTGCAGGGTTGTGAAAACAGTATAGAGAGAATGAGATTCGCAACGGTCAAGAATTAAACTCCATAACATATTTGCCCTCTCCCAAGGTGCAAAAGTTAAGTGAAATTGTGTGTGCGCTAAATTATGCCCAACTCACGTTGTGGCACAAGGATATAATAGCGTTGAAACAAGTAATTTAGGCCTTTAATTACTAGCAACAACAATATGAAACACAATTGCAACACAAGTTATAACCCAAATAATAATATATTAAAGCATTAAAGAACTAGGCACAAAGGTTCATAAATACTTTTCACCCAAGAATCTCTAAGAAAACTTAGCCGCTAAGATGCAATACATATAATAATTAAGAGTTTACAAATAATCTAAAAGAATACAAGAATTGAACCAAGCGATTCTCTCAAATCTCATTAGTTTTCTTCTTGTTTCCCAAGACCACTTGTAGCTCTCAATTCTCTTCTTTCTCGTCTCCCAAAGTCTGAATTCCCTTCTCTAAGGTTGGGGAAGACATCATTTTATAGCGGGAGTCAAACCGGGGTGATTTAGGAATTCTCCACGCAAAATTTGGAAATTTCCAAAACAGCACCTTCTTGCTGGTTCGACGCGTCGAACTTGGCGTCTTTTCGTGAACCATCATTCGGCAAATTCTCAACGCGTCGAGTCTGCTGGGCGTCGGACAGATTGCTACTGGAATTTTCGGGCGTGCTTGACGCGTCGAATCTCCTTAGTCACCCCCATCTGGTCTACTTTGGCTCCAAACTCGTCCTAGAACTTCCCTTGCTTTTGCACTTGACCTACAATAGTTCTAAAACACTAACAAACACCGTAAAACATTCAAAACAAGTGTAAACCACCTATAAATCATTAAAAAAGAGAATATACAATTAATGTGACATTTTCATGAATATAAACCCAACAAAAGTAATCAAACTAACACTAGAAACATGTACCATTAGACTCACATCAATATTCCTCATATTTTCCCCGTTCAATCCATCTCTCATGACATTAAAACATCTTATTGATAACTAACTGTTGTTTTTAATTACTGGTTGGCTACCAATTCATAGACAATCAATGAATGAAAATCACATCAAAAAATAAAATAATAAATAGAAAATTTAAGAGGGGAATAAAACATTTACCTCATATATCATGAATTAACAAATTTTTGGAAGAATGAATTAACAAATTTTTACTGTAAAAAATAACGGTATAAATGGGAAGTCTCAACTCTCAATTGGCCATCATCACACGCCCAAGATGTAAGCAGGCAGAGTCCATTTAATTTCCAAGGACAAAGGAAATAATAATGTGATGATCATAAATGCATGAATTTGTACAATATAACTTCAATACCAGCAGCAATGGGTCGCACGAACGCCAACCCCCTTCCCTATGCCACCAGTAATCCCCATAGCAGATAAATGCCCATCTATGCCCCAAAATAGGTCACGAGTTACTGAAAGATAATTCTCGTACCAAAAGCTCAAAAGTTTAATTCTTGTTTACAAATTACCTTCAACACTTTATGTAGTAAAATTAAAAGAAAATTGGAAGAAAAAAAAAAAAAAAGCAAAGAATTGTATTCACGTAACCACAAGATTTACATAGCTAACAAAGTATTGCAAGAAGGTAAACCAACTTAAGTTGTTCATAGCTAATCGACTCAAACTATGAAAATGAATAAGTAGATCTAACTAAGAGTCCAACTTGAAACTTTGCAATTACTAAGTCAACTGGAATACATTAATAGATTATGAACTTAACTGATATTATTCAATCAGCTTTAAATAGCATACAAGGGAGAGAAGATAGTGAGTAGTTAGCAGGTTGTTGTAACAACCAGTCTAACAATGCTATATAAAAGGAATGCAACTAGATTTAATTATATACAAAAATATGTCAGCCACAGATATCCTTAACACGCCCCCGCAAGATGGATGAGCCATCGGAAACTCCAATCTTGGAACGGAACCGAAAAAACAGCGAACGACCCAACGACTTTGTAAGAAAATCAGCAAGTTGAGCCGACGAAGAAATATGCCGAACCACCAACGAACCATTAGCAACCAAGTCCCGAACAAAGAAATAGTCGAGCGCGAGGTGCTTCATGCGTGAATGGAACACTGGATTCTTACACACATACGTAGCGCTGAGGTTGTCACATAGTAGAACCGGAGTTGGGACTGGACTTTGATCTGGAGTTGGAGCAGGTGTTGGAACTGGTGTTGGAACACCCACGGGTTCTACCTGTGTAGACATAGGAGGCGACTTGCACAAAATATGACATGATTCTGAATCATTAGAAGCAGAAGGTAAGCTGTTAGATGACTTCTACAAATCGTTATAAGGAAACACATGGGGCACAAATCTAACATGCCTAGATACATAAATACGATTCGAACCAAAATCTAGACATTTATAACCGGATTGGGTGTTCGAGTAGCCAAGGAAAATACATGGACGTGACTTTGGTTGTAGTTTCTTGGTGTTATAGGGACGCAACCAGGGAAAACACAGGCAACCAAAGGGTTATAACTTGCCACAATTAGGCAATTGTTGGAACAAGACATAAAATGGGGATTGATTACCTAAAATTGGAGTAGGGAGCCGATTAATAAGATATACGGCTGTCTGAAAGGCGTAGGTCCAGTATGAGGATGGCAAAGACGCGGAGTGAAGAAGAGACATTCCAGTTTTCACGACATGCCTGTGTCGTCGCTCTACGACACCATTGTGCTCAGGAGTGTGTGGCGGGGTGGTGAAATGAGAGATACCGTGAGTATTAAAAAACGGCCCAAGTCTCATGAACTCGCCCCCATTATCTGAGTAAACAGAAATAATTGACAGGCTAAAATATTTTTCCACTAGCTGTTTGAACTGAATGAATATTGTAAACAAATCCGATTTACGTTTCATGGGGTACATCTAAATGTATTTTGAGAAGTGGTCTACAAAAATGACATAATAGCGAAATTCATCAATAGAGTTCTCAGTAGGTCCCCACACATCAGTATAAACAAGTTGCAAAGGTTTAGTGCTAACAAGTGTATTTTTAGAGAAAGGCAGTTTATGACTTTTATGAACATTGCAGGATGAACAGTAAAATTTTCGCAGAGATGACATGGAGACTGGAACATTACAGGGTTGCAACACAAGTTGCAACACCTTATTCGACGGGTGGCCAAGTTGTTGGTGCCACTGAGACAAACAAGCCAACTGCGTAGCATGAACTGTTGGGTGAGAGGCAACTGGTCCAAAATAGACACCATTAATGTTCACCCCTGTAGCAGCGCAATCCCAGTTCGAAGTTCCTTGACCAGAAAATGAGAATCAAAGAATTCAACAAACACACGATTAGTCTTGCATAACTGGGAAACAGAAACTAAATTAGTGTGTAACTGTGGGACACGCAAGACATTATCTAGAGTGAGAACATTAGAAGGAGTGGGAATGACAGATTGGCCAATATGGGATATTTGTAAGGAATTACCGTCACCCAAACGTATTTCATCCGATCCACTATACTCGGCGGAAGTCTGCAGAGGAGCGAGGCTTGGTGTCACATGGTGAGACGCCCCACTATCAAACATCCAGGGAGGAGAAGCCCTAGTCATTGAATTTGCGGTAGGAGATACATAGGATTGCACAGGAGGAACATCGTGCTCCTTTAAAAATCGGGCTAGCTTGCGACACACCCTTGTTTCATGACCCGTAAGATAACAAAACATACAGACGATACCTGAGCGATTGTGTTCCCCTTGTTGCTGATTGGAGCCATAATGATTGTTATTGTTGTGGGCCCTCCGGTTGGTGTTGGACTGGTGGTTGCGCCGCGGGGTGACCAAGTGCGTTGAGTAACATTAGCAGTAGTAAAAAGGGACTGACGCAAAGCCTCTGCGTCTGTCAATAGGGGTTCATGGTCAGTCAGCACATCTGCCAACTCGCCAAAAGAAAGAGGCTTCTCACGAACGCGAATGGCCGACGTGATGGAATTTTAATCCTCGCCTAGCTGAGTCAACACATAGACGATTAGATCTTCGTCAGATACGGGACACTGAGCCAACACTAAATCATCAGCTATGGCTCGCATGTCATTGAGATAAGTGGTGATGGACCGAGACCCTCGCGGATTCCTCGTGAGTTTGGCCTTGAGGGATATGATACGTCCTCGTGAGGCACTGGCGTAACTAGCAACAAGACGTTGCCACGCATCATGGGCTATCGTAGCCGAGGAGATAAGGGGCTGTATGGTGTCAGTATAGCTCCCAAGTAGAGCACTGACAATAACTTGGTCTTGACGATACCAAGCTAAATGAGCCAGGTTGACAGAAGTTTGAGCATGATCAGTGAATTTGGCTGGTTCCTTGGTTGTACCATCAACATAGCCAAAGAGATTAAACCCAACAAGTGTGGCATGAATTTGACGCCGCCACACCGGGAAATTCACGTTCGTGAGTTTAATTGGGAAGTGTGTTGGGGCATTTAATTGGATTATTGTGGTTGTAGTAGCGGAAGCCATTTGGAAGGGGAAGGAGAAAAAAAAAACTTCGTAGGATAAATTAGGCTCTTGATACCATAATAGATTATGAACTTAATTGATATTATTGATGTAAAACAATCAACTTTAAATAGCATACAAGAGATTGAAGATAGTGAGTAGTTAGCAGGTTGTTGTAACAACTAGTCTAACAATGCTACATAAAAGAAATGTAATTAGATTTAATTATATACAAAAATATGTCAGCCACAGATATTCTTAACATACATGACATATTTCATTCAAAGCCAACTTTCAGATAGGGATTCCTTCTTAAAAAAGAAAAAAAAAAAAAAGATAGGGATTCCCATAGAAAAGCAAAAGAAAATTGCATGTATGTAGAGCTTTCAACTTTTCAAGCTAGGTAGCTCATATATAGCGCAACTCTGTGGAGGCGGACTTTCGCCCATTCCGAATCCTAAAAAGTAAAAACCCCGTAACGTAACGTTGGTTCAGGGCGAGTAGGCCACAGTTCTGCGTCGTTTGTCGATCACTGCCGCAGCACAGGGATCGGATAGGCGTAGGCTGCATGCCCATTTATTACCCTCTAACCACCGTAAACCAACCAACTTGCATTGCCCCACTACGAACTGCCTAGCTACCTCTTCCTGCCGCACTATATATAAAATCATATATATCATGCATATCCCAGCAAAAAGTTCATAATAATAATCTCACCATCCATGGGGTGTAGTTCAATTATTGCTCCGGCGACCATTTTACTGGCGGTTATGGTGGCCGCGGCCGCATTGTGGCCTGCAGGGGCGGCGGCCGCCCGTGCCTTCTTCGTGTTCGGGGACTCGCTGGTTGACAACGGCAACAACAACTACTTGTTCACCTCCGCCCGGGCCGACTCCCCGCCGTATGGCATCGACTATCCCACTCACCGCCCCACCGGCCGCTTCTCCAACGGCTACAACATCCCTGATCTTATCAGTCAGATTTCGTCTACTCTCATCTTCACTAATATTAAAACCCACTGTTTAATTTTCACTTCTAATTTGCTCCCTTAACACTCTACTAACGTTACATTTCTATTTTCTAACTATAACCTATAGTTTCAAGGTAGAGTAATAGCGAACAAATAGTTTTAAAATATCATAATATTAGAAAGTCTGCGGTTGCTACCTGCTCTAGGTCAGCTTTCTAACCTCAAAAGACATATTTGTGGTTACTAACTCAATTATTCTTGCTCACAAAAGGCGACATTTTTCGCCTCACTGCCATACACGCTGGTTCAACACGATTATATATAGAGGGATAAATCAGTGACTAAATGACTTATTAGGTGGGAGGACCCGTAACTACTGACCGTGCCCATAATGAGTCACCCTCACTAGAGAGTGAAACTCCCACACTGCAGCTGGCAGGGCTCAATCTCGCGTTTTGCCCACGATCTACTACTTTAAGAACCAATTAAACTACCCATGCGGAGATCAAATTAAACCAATTATCTTACTAGATTGATTGAGTTGTCCCAAATACTATACCATAATTGTCAAGAGATCAACTAGTGAAAGAAGTCTTTATGGATTCTTTAGGTTGACATCATTTTTGGTAATGGCATGCAGGCCAAGCAATTGGTTCAGAGTCTACACTGGCCTACTTGGACCCAGAGCTGAGGGGCCAGAGGCTGCTGGTTGGCGCCAACTTCGCTTCTGCCGGAATTGGAATTCTCAACGATACCGGCATTCAATTCGTAAGTCGTTCAAGCAATTAACCAAACACTTGGCATGCATTATCCTACATGTTGTATATGTAACTTCCATTGGTTCATTATTATGCCTAGGCAAACATAATAAGAATCGCGCAACAGCTTCAACTGTTCGAGCAGTACCAGCAACGAGTCGGCAGCTTGATCGGAAGCGCGCCGGCGGCGATGCTTGTGAACCAGGCGCTTTTCCTCATCACCCTCGGCGGTAACGACTTCGTTAACAACTACTTCGTGGTGCCCGTCAGCGCTCGACGGATTCAATTCTCCATCCCCAATTTCTCCCGATATCTCATCTCCGAATACCGCAAGATCTTAATGGTAATATTATAATATATTCTAATAATTTCACTAGTTAATTTGAACTTCAAAACAATTCAAACTTCAAAACTAAAAACAAAAAAGAAATAAGTATTTAGGGTTGTAGCCAAGCAACTTGTGCTCAGACATGTTGTGACTCTCCCATATGGGAGCTTCAGTGAAAGCGGTGTTAACTCTTTGTGTTTTAACATGTTAAGAAAGTATAGATGAACAGATACTACAATATAATTGAATTATGTGACGAGTTTTTGATCGTCGAAATCTGATTTTATCGAACAAGAATGAGATTAGTCTCAATGTATAAAATTATAGTGTACTCGATTAGGAAAATCTATGGTCCAACCAAAATATAAAAAGAAGTAAGTCAACAGCACAGTAATGATAAAACTTAATTGCATTTATTTCCCTCACCAACCATATATTGAAGCAACAAATTAAATATAATGTCCTTGTACAAAGATATTTTCAAATAAAAGGAACAGTCATTGCCGGCAAGTACATCCATAAATTTGCTAGCAGTGATTCCAGTCGTGGGGTATTGACTCTTTAGACTGTAATACTTAAAGAAAGTATAGAATAGATACTACCTTGGAATATAGTCAATAGCATTACAATATATGTTATCTTTTTTTCAGAGATTATACGAAATGGGGGCTAGAAGAGTGTTGGTGACAGGAACCGGACCGCTAGGGTGTGTTCCTGCAGAATTGGCCCAAAGGAGCATAAACGGGCAGTGCGCACTAGAGCCTCAACAAGCCGCCGCTATATTTAACCCGCTCCTCATTGAAATGATCGCCGATCTCAACCAACAACTTGGCTCCGACATTTTTGTCGCCGTCAATGCCATGCAAATGCAAAACGACTTCATCAACAACCCCCAAGCCTATGGTCCGAACAAACTCAATATCTATCTTCGAATGTCTATTAATACTGCTGTCTTTTGCACCGGGTACAATTATAGATATTTTTGAATTGTATAAGTACTGTGGAGTCAAGAATTGACAGTACTATGATACAATTCTGAAAACATACCCGATACAAAAAAAATACCAGTATTTATTGACATTATAATTATACTTTATCTAACGTATTATCTTTTAACGTTAAAATCATAGGATTTGTCACGTCGAAGATAGCATGTTGTGGACAAGGACCTTACAACGGAATTGGACTGTGCACAGCGGCATCAAATTTGTGTGCAAACAGGGACGAGTATGCGTTTTGGGACCCGTTTCATCCGTCGGAACGGGCCAACCGATTAGTAGTGCAAGCCATTTTGACCGGAACCAATAAGTACATGAGTCCGATGAATTTAAGCACTATTATGGTCTTGGATTCTAAGGAGTAATCAACTATGTTACTGGTTATATGAAAATCCTTCATTAATTCTTGCTATATATATATGTTGTGATGGCTATATAATTATTCAGATAGTGTGGCAGAAGTTCTGATCGTTTCGATATATATTGTGTAATAATATGTATTATGGAGATGTAATGAGTTAAATGGAACAACTCTTTTATGTTTATTTGATTTTGTATTGTTAGGGATTTGTTAAAAGGTGAACTTTGATTATTTTTAATGGAGTTAATACCCAAAATCGTCCTCGACTATAGTGGTTTTTCTCAATTTCATCCTAAACGATTTTGGTGACCTAATATCGTCCCAGACTTTTATGTTTCGCTCAATTTCGTCCCATACTTTTGTGTTTTTGCTCAATTTAGTCCCTCATTTGTTATTCTATCCATTTGGTGTTAAATAAATAGACAATTAAGTAATTTTAATATTGGCATCTCTTTACTCATAGACATGTGAACTGCGAAATTCTTTTTTTTTTTACGAATTAGTCCCAGAATTACTCCTAAAACTGCGAATATAAAATTTGATTTGCAGGTCCGGGAGTAATTCTGGGTGTAATTCGTACAAGAAAGAGGAATTTCGCACTTCACAAGTTGAAAGTAAAGAGAGATCAATATTGACATTACTGAATTGTCCCTAAATTTAACACCAATTTGACGGAATAACAAATGGAGGACTAAATTGAGCGAAACACAAAAGTCTGGGACGATATTAGGTCACCAAAGTCGTTTAGGACGAAATTGAGAAAAACCACTATAGTCGAGGACGATTTTGGGTATTAACTCATTTTTAATGAATGAGCGCCAACTTCTTAAGCAGTTCTATAGAAGTGCTAAGTATTTATTGGTTTTTTTTTAAAAAAAAAAAAATTATTATTATTATTATTATTATTATTATTATTTTGCACTATAGTATACTGTATGCATTCCTCCTACTTGAAGGAAATATTGCCATTCACTTTTTGTAAAAACTCAAAAGCGGATGATCCTATAGTTTGGTTGGCCTTATTTTGTAAGGAAATATTGAAAAATCTTACTTTTATCTCTACTCAAATACACCAAACATAAATTTGTAATTTTGTATTTGTTTGACCTAAACTCTTGAACGAAATACAAATATATAATTATTGGACTCGATTATATTATTAATCCATCCGTTTATTATTTTTATATACAGTTTACGAGTCTTGTATTAGTATATATAGGTTTACGATTCTTGAATGAGTATGCTGAGTGTGATTCAAGTCCCTTCTTGTATGAGTGTGTCGATTGTGATTCGAGTCGATTATGATATGAATGTGTTGAGTGCGATTCGAGTCGAATCTAGATTGCTCGTAGTTCATGAAAAACTTTCTAACTAGAAAATGAAATGTGTGCTTTTTGAATAAGAAATTTGAGTTCATACCCAATTTAGTTATCAATGATAGTGATTTTTTTTACTCAATTTAGCCTTAAATGAGTTTTTGTGCTTAATTAGGCCATCGACTTTGATGGTTTTACACAATTGAGTCCTTGGCTATTATTATTCAGGACTAAATCGATAAAATTCACTATAGTCGAAGACTAAATTGGGTGAAACCACTACTAGAATCAATGACTAATTCGAGAAAATTTACTATAATTAAAAAATTACTTTGGGTAAAACTACTATAGTCGATGACTAAATTGAGTATTAATAGATGTAAAATTATCAAATTATCTTAACAGAAAATTCGATTGAGTAAAATCATCAAAGTCAAAAGCTAAAAAATGAAAAAATTTCAATTTTGGTCACATGACTATAGGGGCATTGTTAATTTTAGCACCTGACTTTTAAAGTGTCAATTTAGTACCTTGACTATGTAATTTTTGTCAATTTTGGTCACTCCGGCCGAATTGACGGTCAAATTTGACCGGAAAATTTTAATCAAACATTTAGTCCATAATCTGAGGGGCAAAATCGTCTTTTGATCCTTTCTAGACTAAATGTTGGATTAAACTTTTCCGGCCAAATTTGACCGTCAATTTGGCCGGAGTGACCAAAATTGACAAAAATTACATAGTCAATGGACTAAATTGACATTTTTAAAAGTTAGGTGTTGAAATTAACAATGCCCCTATAGACATGTGACCAAAATTAAAATTTTCTCGCTAAAATTTTTTTCGAAAAATATCAATATAGTTGAGGACTAAATTAGATATCAAATCTAGAAAATTTTATATAAATAGGCAAAAAAAAAAATTGTTTATTAGATTTCTTGAGAGGAACGAAACTTGTCGATTCCCGTCTAAAACCCCTGCTGTTACCTTACCTCCTCACATCTGTAGAAGAAGAATCATGGGTCAGGGAACTCCCGGAGGTCTGAACAGGCAGCTTCCCGGAGATCGGAAAAACGATGACAAGAAGGAGAAGAAGTTCGAGCCGGCGGCGCCACCTGCCCGCGTCGGACGCAAACAAAGGAAGCAGAAAGGCTCCGAGGCGGCGGCTCGGCTTCCGACTGTCACTCCGCTCACCAAGTGCAAGCTCCGGCTCCTGAAGATGGAGCGCATCAAGGACTATCTGTTGATGGAGGAGGAGTTTGTGGCCAATCAGGAGCGATTGAAGCCCCAGGAGGAGAAGACCGAAGAGGATCGATCCAAGGTCGATGATCTCCGAGGAACGCCGATGAGCGTTGGTAATCTGGAGGAGCTGATTGACGAGAACCACGCCATTGTTTCTTCTTCCGTGGGGCCCGAGTACTATGTCTCTATCTTATCGTTCGTCGATAAGGATCAGCTCGAGCCTGGATGTGCAATTTTGATGCACAATAAGGTAATTGAACTAATTATCTCCGATATATTGTTTCTTAATCTTCTTCTGGATGTGCATATTGAAGTAACAATGCTGAATGTATCTCTCCTGGGTTTCATGGTGCAAATTAGGATCTCAGATAATAATGAGCTAGGGTTAGCAATTATTGATATCTAGGAGTTGCTTATTTGTGGTCTTGTAAACTATTCATCATTACTTATGAATATTTTGCTATATGCTTGTGCAAATATAAAAATGCTTGCAAAGGTTATGTAACTTCAGAAGTTTCCTGCTAGCTTCCAACAGCTTAGGGTTAATGGAGGGGAAGCTGAGGATTTAATGTTGTATCTGTAAAAGAGTATCATTACTTTTGATAGTGTGTTAATTAGCTAAATGACCATAGCAGTAGAGACCATGTCCTTGAATCCTTGGTGGTTGATAATTTTGCTCAAGCTTCACAGTTTTGTATGCTTAAATTGAGATATGTGTTTTCATCACTATTATTTCCTATTACTCCGTATCATATGTGAGGTTCTTTCTCTTTCTTTATATTTGTGAGGGCCAAGGGGGAGGGTGCATGAACTTACTTTTGGGTATCAAAGGAGTCATTAGTTAATGAACTGTGTGTTTTCATCATTTATTGTGTTCTGACGATACTTCTTGATTCTTTCCAGGTTTTGTCTGTAGTTGGGCTTCTTCAAGATGATGTTGATCCCATGGTATCTGTAATGAAGGTTGAAAAGGCTCCTTTGGAATCTTATGCTGATATTGGTGGATTAGATGCACAGATACAGGAAATTAAGGAGGCGGTTGAGCTTCCATTGACACACCCTGAATTGTATGAAGACATTGGTATTAAACCTCCAAAAGGAGTAATTCTGTATGGAGAGCCTGGCACTGGAAAAACTTTGCTTGCAAAGGTTTGCTTGAAATTTCATATTTGTTGCATATTAAAAGTTTTAAATGGTTTTAAGTTATGCGATATTTTTTTATGTTAATGATAAAGTGTATGACAAAATCTGTATGGATCTGGTTATGTTAAAACAACTAACTGTTGGTGTTGGTTTAGTTTAACACGGTGGGTTCGCTACTATGTGGATGCAGATCTGTTTATATAGCATATACATATTCTGGAGTATGGAAAACGGCACTTGCATCTATGACCATTACTCAAGAATCTAGATTAAGCTTATGATATACTCCTCACTGGAATTGGGTGGCTAACTCCAACTTTTGCTCGTACAATTCAAGCTTTTGCTATGCATTTGATCTGTTTATATTTGCCTATACATTACAAGTGTCAACATTCGGGATACACTGCTTTATATGTTATGCACTAGATCTGTTTCTGCTTGCATTTCATTTTACTAATTGATGATAAAGAGATCCAGTCTGGTGATTTGTAATTTGTAAAAGTGTTTAGAATAGATTCTCTGCTGGGTTATATGAATGAATACCCTAATATGGATATCGTTTGTGTTATTCAGGCAGTAGCAAACTCCACTTCTGCAACTTTCTTGCGAGTTGTGGGAAGTGAACTGATCCAGAAGTACTTGGGTGATGGTCCCAAGTTGGTGAGGGAACTGTTCAGAGTTGCTGATGAACTCTCGCCCTCCATTGTCTTCATTGATGAAATTGATGCAGTTGGTACTAAAAGGTATGCTTTTTGACATCATCTCTTGGAGATATAAGATGTCATGGAGTTCCGAGTTTTTATGCATTCCATCTATAGGTATGATGCACACTCAGGTGGTGAGCGTGAAATTCAGAGGACCATGCTGGAGCTGCTTAACCAGCTAGATGGTTTTGATTCTAGAGGAGATGTTAAGGTAATTTTGGCAACCAACAAAATTGAGTCTCTTGATCCTGCACTGCTTCGCCCGGGTAGAATAGATAGGAAGATTGAATTCCCTCTTCCTGATATCAAGACAAGGAGGCGCATTTTCCAGGTATGTGCATTGCATGATGATATTAAACAGGAAATCAATTTTACACAATTCATCTAAAATTACTTTTGTTATTGAGCAATATTTTCTTTATATAAACAGATCCACACAGCAAGAATGACATTAGCTGATGATGTTAACTTGGAAGAATTTGTCATGACCAAAGATGAGTTTTCTGGTGCTGATATCAAGGCTATTTGCACTGAAGCTGGATTGCTCGCTTTAAGAGAGAGGCGTATGAAGGTGTGCCATATTTCTGTATCTTCCGCAAATCTATATATATAAGATGTAATACACCACGAGTAACAATTCAAAATTTTTGCCAATTTTGTAGGTGACACATGCAGATTTCAAGAAAGCAAAAGACAAAGTTATGTTCAAGAAGAAAGAGGGGGTCCCTGAAGGGCTCTACATGTAATGATATCTCTCTCATTACATCTTTAGCTCTGCCAAGCATAGTGAGTTTTATTCTTTTCCTTGAAAGCTTGAAGCTCCCTTGTACTTTTACTTGTGTCAGAGAACACCATCTGCCTGATTCATAGCCAGCCATCTTTTCTTACTTTGAACTTTTATCTCAGAAATTCTCTCCTCCCACTACCTGTATGGGATGATTCTATTTGGGCTTTCTATTAATTTTATCTGACTTGTTTTTGGTTTTAGACTATTAACATACACTGATACACCTGTTTATTTTGAGCGTTTTACTTAAAAGTGAACTTTTAGTATACTAAAAATGAACATTTATAAGCCGTGTCTACATTACAATGTGGATTATAGTTCACCGCCCAAGTTGGGTAACTGCTTCTTCAAACATTTCTTGCTATTTGGGTTAAGACAAAGACAAACCAGTTGTTCTACTTTTTAGTTACTATTGCAACAACTAGTATTACCCTTACCTACAATTAGTAAGGTTTTGGAGTTAGCTATGACTATATGGCATGTTTGGTTCGCGGGATAGGCCTGGAATTGAATAACATTTCCAGTAATAGATCTATTCCTTTGTTTGGTAAAAACATCTATTTCCAACAACAATGTTCCTAGCTAGGACTTATTACTCTGGGGGGCTCCTGGTATTAGGCTATTTCCTATTTTACCCCCAAAGACGAACAAGTGAAGCTTGAGTGTAAATTAACGAACTAATTAGAGCCATAAAAACTCAATTGTCACGTACTATACAATGGTGTGTTGGTTAACTAAGATAGACATAATAATGTTATTTAAAAAGCAAAAGCAATGGGAGCTAGGGAATTGAAGGTGACAGAGGCAGCGAGCGAATGATGTTGCCTCCGCCCCAAGGAAGGCTCAAGGCAAAGCAGACAGCGGAAGATGTACGCTGTTAGGGTCACAACCCAAAACATCAAATTAAACACAATAATAATGTTGTCAACAAGGCCCAAGAATCCATACCAGTGCATTTTGCATGGTTTTTGGAACAGTATCAAAATCACTAGATGATTTTTGGCTTGATGGGAACTACGGTTTTTGGCTAATTTTTTCTCAAAAAAAAAAAAAAAAAACAGCGCGAAATAGCGTGTTTAGTAGTAACTTTGCGCCCCAGCTGGTGCTCGCTGCCGGCCACTCTGACTAAAACTAACCTCTTTTTATTTTTTTATTTTTTTTTATTTTTTATTTTAAGAATATATATATATATATATTCTTTTCTTTTTCTCTTCCATTTTTGTCTCTCTCATTCTTAAAAATTGTGAAAAAAGTCAACTAGTATGGACGCCATTCGCACAAACATCAAACAACTAGTAAATAGCTTAATTAATTTTTAAAGGAATAAGGTTCAAATTAGTCACTGAACATAACCTGAAAATGCAATTAGGCCACTGAACGAAAAAAAAAAAAAAAAAAGTGCAATTAGGCCACTGAACACTGCAAAAACGTGCAATTAGGTCACTGAACTCTCCAAACGTATGCAATTTTACCGGATAGTAGGTTACCATCAATTTTAGCAGGTTACCTGCTTACGTGGCAGTTGAGTTGGCATTTTTAATAATTTTTAAAGAATTTTTAATAAATTTTAATAATTAATAATAATAATAAATTTAAAAAATGAAAAAAAAATAAATAAATAACAAAATACAGTTTTTTTTATTTTTATTTTTTTTTATAAAAAATTATTATTAAAAATTTATTAAAAACACCAACTCAGCTGCCACATAAGCAGGTAACATGCTAAAATTGAGGGTAACTTGCTACCAGATGAAATTGCATATTTTTTGTGTGTTCAGTAGTCTAATTGCACTTTTTTTCCATTCAATGGCCTAATTGTATTTTCGTGTTACGTTCAGTGGCCAATTTGAACCTTATTCCATTTTCAAAAAAAGTAAATAGCTTAATTAGTTTTTATCACCTCACCTCACCAATAAACCCTCTGCATGCCTCAGACTGTATGCACCAACTCTAGCTTCCACCGTTGGATGTATCGTCTCCTGATGATTCTTTTGGGTTCATTTTCCAATAATCATGAAAAACAGCAGTAGGTGACAGTGGCAACAGAAATTTGAGGTCTGGTCAAGTTTTTGAGGCTCTGGTATATGATTCCTCCTTGTCTTGTCTTTGCTGTACTTGTCCATTTTTTTCCCCTCAATTTTATGTGTATGATTGACTTCAATGGCGCTCAACTCATACCTAACATTATCCCTGCAAATCTCTTCCACTCTCAAAAATGGATTTCACTTCTACATTATCTCATTTGTAAATCATCTATTATTCACACTACATCTAGGAATATCAATTTAGCCCGAACCTGATGGGCCAACCCGAAAAAATCAAAACCGACAGGGCTATAGCCTGAATGGGCTAGCCCGATAAAACACAGTAGCCTGACGAGCCCGAAACCGATTAGCCCAATGGCCCGATAGGGCTAGCCCGACAACCTGAACTATTAAAAACTATTCTTTATTATAGAAGTGATGTGAAACTTAACATACATGGAATAATTATTATACTTTAAAATTATATATATATATATATATATATATATATATATATATATATATATATATATATATATATATATATATATATTTAGTTTTTTAAAATTTAAATCAACATTAATCTAATATTTTGACTAAAAACTGACGAGGACGGAATTCTTCTTCCCCGCCAAATTCTCCGCGGGAACGTAGATAGAGACTATTTTTAATTTTTCGTTGAGGACGGAGATGGGGAGTATACTTCTCACCCCGCCCCATTCCGTCCCGCCCTGCCCCGTTGTCATCCCTACTCTAAATATGGATACTCACTTTCAGTTTCTAATTTTAGTTCAGATGGTTCAACCCTCCCGATTAGCCCGACAACCCGAAGTTTAGGGTTAGAGCCAAATCGAACCCGAGAATAAAATATTAATAAACCGATTAGCCCTAACCGACTAGCCCAACAACCCGACAAGGCTAGCCCGAAACCGAGTGGGCTGGCCCGATTGACATCCCTAACTACATCCCTACAAATTCATTACACTCTAAAAGATGAGTCCCACATTTATATTATATTATAAATATAATAATATTAAAATAAATAATAATAATAAATCAAAAGGTACGTGCTTGCCAGCCCTTTTCAGTCCTTTGCATCAGTTTTATCCCCTCATTTGTAAATTCTCTCTCTTCTTGCAAATTTTACAAATTCTCTCCCCTCTTTCATTACACTTGGCATTAAATAATAATTTAAACAAATTCTTTCTCTTGCCAAGTAAGCTTGCCAACCCCCAATTTGCAGGGATGTGGTTAACCTTATAATTCAAATTTGTGTACATTACTTGTGATAAAAACGGGCACCCTTCTAGGTCAAGAAGTGCCATTACTATTCTCCATTTCTCCAATAGGATTCCACAAAGAAACAAAGGCAAAGACTAATAATCATGTCTGTAGACAACAACTTGATTTTGTTCTCTAAATACATACTTTAAGTGAATTTTTTATGATTTTTTTTCCCAAATACTCCTCTCATCATCCACTCAACAATACTTGCAAAATCACTCTCCACCAAGCACACGAGGATATCTCGATCACGTTTGAACACACAAAGATATCTCGATCTCATGTCAATTGGAGACTTAGAATAACCCACCCTTTTGTAGATAATGGTAATAATATTTAATGTGTTACTATTTTATTTTGTAATTTGAATTAGCCTTGACATTTTGCATGGCTAGCTAGTATCCTTTCTACAAAAGTTATGGACAAGGGTAATTTAACCACTTGTGGGTTTTTATTCACCTAGTGTTACTATAAATAGTATCCCTCATTGCCATTTCTAAATCATCCAAAAATAGAAGCTTTCATTCTCATTCTTTCCTCCTTTATATCTGAGCAGTGTTTAGCGCGTTTCAATTATAATTAACGAGTACACGTTACTACAAAATAATTGTATACCTTTGCAGAACAACACCGCTCTTTATGCTTTGCACCTAAGGATTGATTTCACTAACCAACTTCATATGACATTTCAAAGTACTCTTCCTCCACACAACCTAGAGTAATTTAATGTTAATGTATAATGCTTATAAAATTTTAAAACAATTGTATAATTTTTAATAAATACATACAAATAAATTTTAAAAATTACATAAAAAAATTTGTTGGCATAAATTTTTTCCAGTAAATCAACTTTAATAATTTGTTAAAATTACTCTCTCTTAATAATATTCCAAATTTCCAATCCTTCTCCATATTTACTATCTGTAAATAATCGATTTTTCCGTACACTATTTATTGGACAGTAAAAGTCCTAAAAAAATGTTTTTAATGAATGTGTTTCCAGCACGCTAAACACAGATGTCCCCAAAAATACTACGGAGTATTTTTTTTTTTTCCTTTTCAGAATATTTGAAGTGAACACTGTAATTTTTTTCTTTTAAATTTAAAAATAAAAAGAAATAAAGAAAAGTCAGATCACGCTCGTCGCTTTCAGTTTGGCAGTGACTGCAGTCCTCCATCTCTCTCTTATCAGATTCTTTTATCAATCATAAGAGCGGTGCGTGCGTGGAATATATTATCAAATAATGTATATTTAATAGACAAATAATATACTTTTAATATATTAAAAATGTAAATGAAATCGGTCTCTTCAAAAAAAATACTAATGTGAGGGTCAGTATTGACCATGGGTGTACCCCTCCTTTTTCTTTAAAAAATATATTAAAAATGTACATTATATTCAAAAAAATATTATTTAAATATTAAAAGTACATTATTTTATATAATATACATTCAATACACGAATAGTATATTTTTATTATATTAAAAATATATTTTTTATTATGGTTCACAACCATACACAATAATTACTTTTTTCTATGGGCTGGGCCCATCTCACGCCTTTGTTTACTTTATTTCAAGGGCCCACCAGCACCTGGAACCAGTAATCTTCACCTTCTAATATCTCATAATTTAGGGATGGAATTTTTCTATAATAAATTACAAAAATCATTGTCATGATTTTCATACTATTATTTCAAATTTCACATTTTTAGCAAAAGTGATAAGTCTAATGTTCTATTTGATATTTTTTTTAAAATAAATTTTTAGACATAATTTGAATTTCCAACCTTAAGGGCCTCACACTCCGGCCTAACAGAGCATTTAGAGGATATAAATCATGATAACTCAATGACTTAGCAGACATATCTGCAGGATTGGTTAGCATCTAATGATACATTAAATAGAAGTTCTAATTCTTTGGACGATAGTGCAACATGGAAGAAATCTCATCTAGGCTACCTGAAACTTATCATTGACACTGTATCCTGAGAGATGAAGAAGGCAAGTTTATTGCCGCTGGAGGGGGTACAACGACAGTGTATTTTCTCTTCCAAGGAGGATGAGGCAATTGCAGTAAGGGTTTTATTTCATCTTATTATTATGGATATTAAAAATAAGACTGCTCATCTGTTTAGCTAGGTAATCGCTTCTGTACCTTATTATTCGGAGTTGTTTCCGAACCTCCCCATATCGTTGGTAATGTTCTTCGTTCAGACTTAATGGAGTACATTTTACCATTTGGATTAGACCAGCTTGTCATGTAATCACCGTCTGATGCATTAACGATGATGATGAATTATCTAACGGTAGAGATTTGCAGGAGCAGGTGCACCCTCACGGAGATGCGAAGTTGTGAATAGTCTGTCAGCTTTCCCAATATCGAAAAACGGCTATCTACTTCCTTCCTGACTCCCACTATCACTTCTCATTTTCAGACTGTACTTTTCTTTCGTCTGTTAATGGAGTTTCCGGCCTTCCTTCCCCTCTGCATTGTCTTCTTCTTCTTCACACTCTTCTCCAGCTCATCCAATGCTTTAGCTCCGCCGTCGGATGTCGAGATTCTTCTCCGGAAAATCAAGCCTTCACTGCAAGGAAACGCCGCGGAGAATTTGCTGCTATCGTCGTGGAACGCCGCCGTGCCTCTCTGTCAATGGCGAGGGCTCAAATGGGCGTTTACGAATGGCTCTTCTCTTCTCTGCGTTGATCTCTCGTCTCCGCAATGGACCAATCTGTCTCTCTACAGAGACCCCTCTCTCCGCCTCGCATCTCTCCAGCTCCCTTCCGCTAATCTCTCCGGAACCCTTCCCAGAGAGATTGGGGAGCTCGCCGCGCTTCAGAGTCTCTATCTAGGAGTGAATGCGCTCTCTGGAACCATCCCTCTTGAGCTCGGCTATAGCTCTTCTCTCTCAGATGTTGAGTTGAGCGGCAATATGCTCACTGGATCGATTCCCGCGTCTATCTGGAACCTCTGTGAAAAGCTTGTTTCTCTTCGCCTTCATGGTAATTCTCTGTCTGGTTATCTCCCTCAGCCCGCATTACCGAATGCTACCTGCAAGGATCTGCAGTTTCTGGATTTAGGTCACAATTCGTTTTCTGGGGATTTTCCTGAATTTGTGGCTAGGTTTAGTGGGCTAAAAGAGCTTGACCTAGGTGATAACAAGCTCTCTGGCCCAATTCCTGGTAGTTTAAGTGCATTAAACCTTGAGAAATTGAACCTTTCTTACAATAACTTCAGTGGGGTTTTGCCAAATTTTGAGCAACCAAAAAAGTTTGGGATGGAGGCTTTTGAGGGCAACAGTCCTAAGCTTTGTGGGCCTCCTTTGAGACCCTGCAATGGAAGCTCTGGACTGAGCCCTGGTGCCATTGCTGGCATTGTGATTGGCTTGATGGCTGGGGCAGTGGTTTTGGCCTCATTGTTGATTGGGTATTTCCAGGGGAAGAAGAAGAGGAGGAATGACGACGATGAAGAAGATGAGGATTTTGAAGAACTAGAGGATGAGGAAAATGGTGGGGGTGATGGTGGAGAGGGTAAGCTGATTATATTTCAGGGAGGGGAGCATTTGACATTGGAGGATGTCCTGAATGCGACCGGGCAAGTCATGGAGAAAACTAGCTATGGAACGGTTTATAAGGCGAAGCTAGCTGATGGAGGAACCATTGCATTGAGGTTGTTGAGAGAAGGAAGCTGCAAAGACAGAAGTTCCAGTCTGCCAGTGATCAAGCAGCTGGGGAAAATCCGGCACGAGAATCTGCTTCCATTGAGGGCTTTCTATCAGGGGAAGAGAGGGGAGAAGCTTCTCATTTATGACTATCTGCCTAACAGAACCCTCTATGATCTTTTACATGGTAAGCGCTTTAGCTGTGATTCACTCGTTCTCTGTTATCCCTTCAACTAATAACATATTTATGCATAACACACTTGAATTGG